ACTTCCATATGGATAGAATATTGTGGTAGTTTAAGTAATTTTCTACGTCAGTGACTGCTTAGACTGGATAACAGTGAACCCAGGTTTTATATTTCTTTTAATTATCATTTGATGATAAATCGCACCGGCCATCGTCTATCACCAATGTTATACAACTGGTGGACGACTACTCACCTCTCCCCCCCCCCCGCTGCTAATTCAGGGAGAGCACACTCCCACGTGGTACGAAACTATACAAAAAGTGTGTCAGTCAGTAAATAATAATGACCTAGAATAGTAGGCGTTATTTTAAAAAGATGAAGTCTGTTGGTTATTTGTCCATACAACTATGAGAAACGTTGTCACAAACTAGTGCACACTAGATTTCCACCCCTCTTTCACTTGGATCTGAGATATTGGTGCAGATATAGTTGAGCAAATATCACCCACCATCTGGTCGATAATGACCCCCTATCTCTACAGCCTCCGCCTTTAAAGTCATCTAAAAGGCGAAAAATAATTTGCCCTAATCACTACATATCCTATTCATCTGTATTGCTGAAGCTTTCGCCATCGGAACAGAAAAGCCAGATGTCTGTATACAAAAAAAGTTTGTTCAACCCCTCGAACTTTCATGGTATTAATCCCTCTGTGCTGAAGTATGGTAATCCCTAATCATATTTTGGCTCTACCTATTTTTCGTTTTGTTTATTCATTTTATATGCTCTTCCTATATCACTTCAGTTGTTATTATAACTATTCTCACTTTGAATTGTCCCCGATATTATGCACTTGTCATTCTAAATCAATTTTGTTTCGCAACGTTAAATTCTATGTTATCAAATTTCACATAATGCCCCGTGATGTTTTTATTTTTATTCTATTTGCCTACTAATCTTTTAATTTCACACACACCCTCCCCAAGTTCTATAAATCCTATGAAATATATTTAAGTGAATGGCAGATTGCTGTTGGAGTCTATCTATAGAAATGTAATATTAGCATGAAAAATTGAATGGAAAGTAATACGTGACCACGTGGCTTATCATCTGACATGCGGAAAATAACCTGTCAGGCTACTGGATTGAAAAATTTCATTCGAAGAGAGGATGACAGACGCGAAAATCATCTATGTCACCCTGGGAGGCCCCTTCGAGAGCCTAGGGCGCAATGTCCCCCAACAGTTTCCCCAGCATACCTGATCTATCCCCATTATCTCCGTCATATTTGCTGAGCAGTCGGCTCTTGGTTGGTTCGTTCTCAGTATTTCGTATTGCTAGTTCTTTCTGGCCATCCGTATCAAGCGAAGGTAGACGCTGATAACAGTCTGAAGCTGGCTGTGGGAAATGCTATTCGAGACACGCCCACCACAATTTTCTGACCCATATAGAAGAAGTGACTTAGCATTTGTGTTGAAAACCAAGATCTTGCAGTAAATTTCCAAACTGATTTCAGAGTGATGAAGGTGTACCTTGCCTTTCTGTTGCATGCTGCCTTTGACATCCTTATCCGTTCCTACTGCGTGTAGTTGAAACAATACTGCCTAGATAAGTGAAGGAAGTGACACCTTTCAAATTTCTTCCGTTGATAGCGATTGGTGCGTTGTGTGGGTTATCTTCATCACCTCCGTCTCTGTGTTCACCTGGAGTCCTGTCGTCTCCTGACTGCTTCTTCAGCCAGTTTGTTGGTTTTCGCCTGCAAGTCTTCGAGTATGTATGACATCAGACACAAATCATCCACACGCGAAATACAGATCTTCTAGAATCTGATTATCAGTCACTGCAGTGTATTCCTGTCTTCTCACAGTCTGACGCATAATCCAGTCTACCGCATTTAGGAATATCATTGGTGACAATGGGCAGCCAGCCTTGCCTAACCCCTGTATACACTTCACAGGCTTTTCTGACTATTCCGTTGTGGATCCCCTGACACATGCCACTGCTATATAGCCAGTTGTTCAGTGAGTTTGATAAAGAAGCAGCATTGAAGTAGTTTCCGAATCACGTCTCGGTCAACGCTGTCTGTCGAATTCGATGCAATTGGGGGAGAAGTTCGACTGCCGTTATACGCTTTGATCGATGATAACGCGTAGAGTTGAAATTTGAGCAGCACATGATTTGCCTTTCCTGAGTCCAGGTTGTTCTGGGCTGGCGGAGTTCAGCATTCAGTGCATTGTTTATTTTCTGTAGGATGATGAGAATTAGTATTTTACTTGGCTAGGACAGGGGCTTGATTCCACACAGCTTTTTCAAGAGGCCTAAGTTGCCCTCCTTCGGTAGCTGGTCTTTCTTTAAATCAGTAGGTACTTTTCCTTCCTCCAAAACTTTCTGCGGCAATGGCGTGAGAACATCTGCTGCTGTCTCTGGACCCGCTTTCAGTGCTTCAGAGAGAATTCTGTCTGTTATTGCCGACTCTCTGGCCTTCATCAGCTTGACTGTATTGAAGACTCCTACTTTTGTTGGAGGACTGGTGTTCACTGGCAGTTCTGTTGATGGTATTTTCGGACGAGCTGCAGGTGGTGGTCGAATCAGGCAGGAGTCCTTTGTGTCTCCTCCTTGGTAATTAGGTTCCATTGATCATCTTGTATAGGTTTCATCTGCGTTGATCTCTTCTCGGATAGAGATCTGTTAATCTGATGTAATGTCCTGGTGTCTCTTTTACCTGCAGCCTGTTCTGCGTCAGTTGCCAGTATATCCTGGAATTTTCTGATAAGTAGGAGAGCATGGAACAATGGTGTTTTATTGTACACATCTTTACGAATCAAAAGTGCTAAATTAAATTATTTTATGGCGATTTAATTGCGAAGCTTTCATTATCTTCGTACACAACATCTCCAGCGCTTATTCATTCGTTCATTATGAAATTAAATGCTTCCATATTTGCAATCGTCCAAAAAATACATAAACATAGTTAGAAACTGTTGACAATATAAATCCAAGTGTATTTTCACGGTAGATTTGAAATGCAACCTGGAGCATTTATCATTGATCTCCTTCATAAATACATCATATGTTTGACGCAACAGAAGTGAAATTAAAGCAACAACAATCGTGGCCATAAGGCACAATAATAATTTGATTCACTACTTATGAATACTATATACTCTGCATTTCTACACCACATAAATCCTGTCATATGGGTGAGTGAATAAACTTGATGCCTTTTTACGACTGAATGCTGATACAAACGTCGTGGTTGACTTCACTCTTAGATCGAAATGTGTTTACGACTGGGCGATTAATGTGCAGACAAATACTGATTCTGATATCAAAGTCTTGTGATCCCAACTTATTTTAGAGTCACATCAAAAATAATAGATTTTTTTTAGTATTATGTCTACCTGAAGAGGAATACTGTGATAGCAATGTATACGGTATATGTGTTAAACCAACCAAATTTCCGAGTATTTTGTGAAGGCAAAAAAGCAATAGAGGAAACATTTCATGAGAGAATACTCAGCAAGAAAATAAGCCAGGAGTCAATGCAGAAGCAGTTAACAACACAAATCAACATTGGCTAGTTGATTCACAACACTAATCAAGATAATATGTTTGCGACAAAGTAGCCTATCACTACGAAAATCCTTGCTGTTATGAAAATTCGAAGCAAATTGGCCCACTAACCAATTCATTGAATGATTTTTCGTCTGTTGAAAGTGCGAGTTAAGCACTGTATGATTTAGGCAATTCGTATCAACATGCATAGGTAGCCAGTTCTATCTAAATGTGAATGTTTTAGTCGGTCGGTTTCCGACATAGAACTTTGCACATATGTGCGGCAGTTCAAGTCGCCACACTCCATGTAGCACACAAAGGAGGAGAAGAAAGTAGGAGAAATGCATAATAATATAGACAGTAAACAGAGGTGTGAGACAAAGGAATAGTAATAACGAAGAACAAAACAGTTTAATTGGAAATCATGAGTCACAAGGAGTGGATGCATCTGCGCTAGCCATTGAGAACGATTTTGAGCCATGTCACCAATTGTTTCCCGATGACCCTAACCAGGAAGTCTACGTCTTCCTACGTGGCTGAGACTAACTGTTGTGGATTTCATTGACTGGTGCCATGTTTTGGTTTGACCACCACTAGCTCTTTTCCAGTCTGACCCTATATCAGCTAACATTGCCCGTCTAGGAAGGCGATGACTAGGCATACGTAACACATGTCTTAACCATCTCAGTCGATGTAATTTCACAGCCTCGTCGACTGATTTCCCCGCCTTACCTAGCACTCAACGCCTAACCTCAATATTACTCACCCTATTATACCACTTCACACGGAATATAGAACGCAGACAGCCATGATCAGAGACAGCTAGTCAGGCTTTTCGTATCTTCCACTCTCAATGACCAGGTCTCACAGCCAACCATAAAGGAGGACGGAGAAAACTGCTGAGCAGTACACACGACATTTGGTCGATACCGAGCCGGATATCACGTCTACACCACAGACAGCGTAAACTGGCATATGCGAAACTAGCCCTCTGTATTCGTCGGATATCAACACGTTGGGGCTGATGGTACTTCCCAAGTAAGTGAAGCGGTCAACCTGCTCTACCACTTCACTTCTTATTTCTAATCTAGGGGTCAGGAATGTTTTAGTAAGGGTAACAATCACGGAAAGATAAATCTGCATCCTTTAATCGCCGAAATACATTCATTAGTGCGCATGAACAATTCTATTTAACTGAATATCGCCTTGTGGATGTATAGTAAACTAGCGTAAGCTTTGTATATAACAAAATAACCTTAAGGCTAACAGATATGATAACAATGAACGCATGCTATTGTGATTTAAAGTAATACAGTGTGACTAATAATCTGTTGGTCACTTAATTCAGACTAAGCATAAAACAGACACGTGCCAAATGTTAAATGTGGCTTAGTGCTACGTGAATAATATACCTCACATTTGTGAAACAATGATTTCGACCAGCTAAAAATTTCGTTCACTTTACAAAACAGATCAAACAGACATCTTCAAAACACCTGCACCTATTGGAATTCTGCCTAGGCGTTTTTTATATTCTCTTCTTTTATAATTCTAGTCAATCTTCTGGACAAACTTCTTTCGTACAATACTATTATGAACACAGTAAAAACGGAAGTAACATGAATAGGACACTGTATTATGTATGACACGTCGAATGTCATATTTCTCCTGGGCAGATTCATTTTTATAGACTGTCAAAAGCAGATTTTTATGGAGCGAGCACACGCTAAAAAGTGATTCATACACATTGGAAGAGAATTTGTAAGAAATCACCGCTGATGTCACAAAAAAAGTAAAAAACCTGCCCGCAAATATCCTACGTACAGTAAAACACAAGTGAGTGTTAAGAATAGTTTGTATTTCTGCTTTTCCACACCAGCTATGCAACTGGTAACCTGTGAGCAAAAGAAATGAGACAAACAAATTGAGGAAGAAACAATAACAAATAACGAGTAAACAACCAAGGAGATTAAAGCTCTCAGATAACTAGGATAATCATAATCAGTCATGGTAATTTTCTTCCTAATCATTCGAACGTTCAACAACATAGTAAGTGAATAAAATGAAAAGATCAACAAAACTGTTTCAACTTTCCTGTGCAAGAAACATGAAATGTCACAGTTAGGGGGGGTGGGGTGGGGTGGGGAGAACAACGAATAAATACTACAAGGAAAACAAACAGACGATTTAATTCAACAATTAAGCACAGCATCACCGAGACATTAATTTAAAGCATAATCCAGTTAGTACCTCTATCAACTTTTAGATAGCAATAAAATAAATTAGAAATCAATTAAAGTGTAATGCAAAGAAAAACAAATTTACATACACAGACGCCTTTGGATTTTCAAGCGTCTAGGTTTCTCAGATTTGAATCAAAGTGCAGAAAGGAGTACAATTACACTGTGATCATTGGTCTAGACTAAGAACATCATAAACCTTTGTAACTAGTTGATAACTGGTCGATTATACATATTCTCATACAAGAACACATTAACAAAAAAAGATATTTTAACCTAGCAACAATGAATGCTAGTTCAATAATACATTTGACCAATAAAGAAAGAAAATTCTCTAATGAGAACTAGAGCTAGGAGGGGGAGGGGAACACAGAGGTCAGAGTAGATATAGGAGTATTAGATTGTTTTCATTGTACTGGAAGCATCCATCAGGAATAATGTTACATTATAAAAATGAAAATCAAAAAAACAACAACAGATAAATAAATAGTTCAGGAAGTTTCAGTAGGCGAGACAATAATTTAATCATGCTTAATTTCTGTTCTAAAAATACATAAGATTTCGCCTGTCAGATTTCTGAGAACATTTAAATAAACGTAATTAATTCATGCACAGTTGTTGTTGTTAGAGAAACAAACATTATACAACGTAAAAGCAGAGATAATATATATAAAGTACATTTTTAAGTGAAATTGAAAACTCTTCAAAGTACGTAAATAATAATAATATTATCAATAATAATAATAATAATATTAGTAATAACAATAATAAGTAGTCAATTACGACATTCCAGGTACACAGTGATTGGCAGTAATAATAACAAATACAGAATAGAGAGTAAAAAAATTCCAAATTAGACCATGACAAGTCAACGTGAACTTCTGGATCAATGAAGAAACAGGAAGCAAAGAAAGAGAATGAGACAAAGTTGTGCGAAACGAAATGTGACAAAGACAGTTATAATACCGAAACAGAGCAGAAAAGGATTAGAACAGAAACGACAACAAATAATAATAATAATGATAAGTAATATGGTGATTAAATAACTACGAAAGGCGTGAAAGACATACTTATCCTATGCAAAAAGCATTGAGTGTGTAAATAAACAAGTGTGAAGCATAGCGACAGTGTGAGATTGGCAAAAGAAAACAACAATGAACAGAATCACGAACAAATAAAGCGCGCGCACACACTAAATTTGTCAAAAGAGCTGGGTAAACAAACACAGGTAAAAATGACTAGCGAATCATATACATGCAAACACAGATTTAAACATAAAAGAAGAAAAACCCACAAAACAGAAAAGCATCACAGTTGGTCACAGTTAATACAAGTATGGAGATACATACATTTTATTATTTTCAGGAAGGAAAAGAAAAAATAACCCAGATAGATTATGATTACGACGTGAAGCATGATATAAGGTTTGTGGAAGAATAATTCATACCTGTGAGGTTTGATATAAAGTAGACTGAGAATAAAGAGGAAAGAAGGGTAAGAGACAGTAATGAACTGTAAAATTATGCAAAATGCGTATGAATTGAAACACAACGTGTTGTGTGTGTTTTTCTCATATCCAGCATATTACATGCTGAAGCCTTATAAAACGATCTGAAGAGAAAATCTCATTAAAATAGACATACATATTATAGTAGTTAACACAATGAAATTGGATGCTGGCATAACTTTCTTATATGGAATCCAAACAGCACCTTTTTGCCTTCTTTGTAGATTATGGTGTAGTAGTGTGTGCGTGTGTGTCAAATCATTCTTTCTATCTCAGTTCAAAAGGTATGAATTAACAATTGAGTTAAAGAGGTGGAATGTCAGATGTTAAATCCCACATTTTAAGAAATAAGTAGAATAAATAAATCAGTAAATAAACAGAGATGTATGGAACGAGGAGGACACAAGCCAGCTGGTAGAAATCACGCATAATATTTCAATCGCCAGATTGGTTAACAAATTAAGAGATATATCAACTTTTTTCAACTGTCTTTCCAATCACGAAACAAGGAACTGAGAACAAAAAAAAAACTAATTTGCATATAAACAAATATGAGCAAAGGATTTGGCGTAAGCATAGAAGGAAAGAAAACAAATCAAATCTTATTTGAAAAATCAGATACACCTGATTCTTTGATTTGTCGTGTTCTTTTAAAATGTCACCCGAAAATCAAAAGAAGAGAGGACAAAAAAGGACACGAATTTCTAAGATATGATTACATATTAAAGTGAGAAAGTATCTTTAGTATATGTATACACAAATCCTCAAGTAAATTTTCGTTTTCATTTGAACGTTACTTTTTAACCTTAGAGTGGGTAGTTAAAACTAGCTGATCCACTGGAATTAATATTTGTGAAACCCCCACCACCCGAAGATGCTGATAAACACGACCGATGCACATGAACATTCTGCCAACCCCGATCATTACGCCTAACCCAAACACGTGTCTCTTCGGTTTGTTGTGTGTGAGGCATACCACATCTAAAGGACAGAATAGGTTTATCGAAAAAAAAATAAAAGAATAAAATGTCAGGAGGCAGGACATTTATAGTTGACTGAAAAACTGCTTATCGTTTATAATGCCATTTGGATAACGCAAAAAATCCACTTACTTATCTAGAAACTGAGTGAGCCTTGTGTAAGCAATACAAGCAGCATCTTCACCCATCAAATGTACAGTCGGATTGAGTATACTGGTATGAATAGCACGAACAACTGACTTCGGAATGACTACAATGAGAAGAGAAAATGGATAAGAGATATGCAGTAGTAAGAAATCATTTTACTGGAAAGAAAAATAGCTCAAAAAATTACTATAAAAACCTGTGATGCTAAAAATTGGAATTCAGAACTCTCCAGTGGTGCCAAATAACCGATGTGAAAAAAAAGATGTGGGAAAGACAAAGTTTGAAAGGCATCACTTAGTAGTTACTACAAACTCTAAGAATAGCAGGATTTTGTAAACAACAGTTTACACGATTCCATTATCCAGTTCACACATGACTCATGTTATAAGCGGCAAACCGACTTCTTCGGTAGGCAACAGTAGTCGTCTCGGAAGAAGGGAAAACTTGCTACAGAAGACCAATCAAAAGCAGACAATAAATAAAACTGTGTTGCATAAATTTGAGAACTAGCAACCAAACTAATAAAAAGCTGGTCTTCATTATGTATATTTCAATAGCGATGTTTACATCAAAATTATATATATATATATATATATATATATATATAGATAGATAGATATATATAGATATATATATATATATAGATATGGCAGCGTATTTTGAATAGTTTTTGATGTCTGGAACATTTGAGCAGGTAAAGTAATATCGATTAACGCGCCTAAGCGCGAAATACAGATTTCGATAACATTGATGTCATTCATCACTATTAGAAGTCAGTCATGTTTAGCAATTCGCAGAGCAGAAAAAAATCTACGGAAATGGTATGAATGAATGAACGCCTCTATGTAACCTCACTAAGGTAATCCATATGTAACAGAATCAATGATGCGTACACGCAAACAAAATATGATAAATGTTAACAAGGTTTAGAGGAAAGCAGTAAACAAATAATATGAACATTAAAAAAAAATAATGCGAGAAAGAAAATCAATGGTATATCATCTGGTAGGAAGCATGAAGTAATGAAAATGAGCATGGAATAGGGAAATTTGTTAAAACAGCTACAACTGTGCAGCAAATACAAATCTGAAGCCTTAATAAACTGAGACTACATATTTCAATAAAAAACGCAAGTGCATCCTATGTAGTTCAATTTATCGGTGTTTACATCTCATTCACTTCCGATGTTGGATCAGGCGAAACTGTAGGTCAACTGAACTTCTCCATAAAATGTCCCAACTAACGTTCTAATCGTTGCTAACATTTCATCGTACTTCTAGGTCTTTTCACTTACTCATTCAATTCACAAAGGTGTTCTCTCCTGATGAGATTAAACGGCTAATGAGTATTTTATGATTCTGATGTCTTTTCCCTTCCTCACGCCACTGTTGCTTTCAGCTTTCTTCTGAACATATTTCGCCTCTTGGCCTTTTCGAAACTCGTCAAGATTATTCTTTCTGAATTAACTAATTTGGATGAAGTGCAGAAATATACTGTATTTTACTAACCTTTGGTTGCCGGCTGTGAACTGTTTGCACTACTGTTTCTCCAGTAGGTCGGATGTGGTTTCAGGTTTCCTTAGTATTAGTGCTGCTGTTATAGATAAATGTTTTGTTATCTACTCCCGAGATACAGAGTTCATATTCTCATCGAGCAGTATTAGCTAACTTATCAAGACGAGAGATAGTTTCATCATCACCTTTGAGATGCACAATCATTCCAAATTATGAATTAAAGATAGTGATACGTCTTGTTCATTTCCGATTTCGCGTCAACTTAAGGAAAACTCACGTTTTCGACACATTCATATAGCTTTTACGAACCCCTTTTAAGAGACATCTGTTATCTCAAGCCATACTTGTACTGAACGAATCCACTCTATACTGCTAAAAACGTTTAGTACAAAGATTCGTCTTGGAGTATTAATTTGGACTTTACAAATCAACGTACAACTATACTAATACGTGCATTAAACTAAGCTCTTAAACTTAAAAAAAACCATGAATAAACCGCTAAAATGAAAAGTAGTGAGAGCTGACATCACTAAGTTAGATGGTTAGCTAGTCTCGCAAACTGAAGGCCCTAGATTCAATTCCTGATGTGGGTGGGCGCATAGGTGCAGACCCCAGTGCTCCCTGGTTTGCAATGGTTCTCTAAATGCTTTCGGTTCACAACAAAATCTACCTGGAAACAATTCAAATCTATACGACCCTAAACTTGAAAATTAAGCTTCTGCTAAATAGCTGAAACAGTACACTGGTGGTCTTAGTGCAAAACAGGGATTACTTGGACGAACATTAAATCAACCATAAAATTAAACCTGAGTTTGTGAAAAGAACCTTGAGAATTTGGAGACAAATATGTTCATCTTACGGCAACATAGAATACAGGATTCCTCAATATTTTACGCTGTGATTGTTTTAAGCTATGCGGAGTCCCTGATGATCACTTTATCATTCAGTATTTAAGCCTACCGCTATTATTTACCTTGGTAGTTTAACAGAAATGAACCACTTAAAAAACTATAAGTTGCGTGGTAACTAAAATTTTAAGGATGATAAGACGACTTGAAATCATTGTGACACATGTGCAAATCTTATAGTGCGATCGATAGTTTGCATAAAAGTGTTAAAAAAATGTAAAGAAAAACAAAGTAAAAATGAGAACTTTATGTAAATACACATTTAATTACAAGAACACACACTTACTCTGTTCAAAATAAAACTTATGGAAATCTGCACCTTCAAGTAAATTCCCACAGGCTTCAGGACCAAAATAGGTAAACTGGGAATCCAAAAATTTACTACACAAAAGGTGACAAAAGATTGAAGAGTTAGTTAATGACAATCACCACAGGGAGGAAAAGATGTAAACAGATTGTGATGGGTATAAGATTGTTAATATACCGTATTTAGTACATACTTGTAATAAAATCTCAACTTGTTGACGCTCTCAGCTGATTTTTAATGTACTACTTTGAATTTTAAGCTTATTGTTTACAGAACATAAACATACAAACTTTAAAATAAACCACATGGCATAACATGTATTGCGATGCACACTTTTACAGTCAAAAAAGTTTTATAATTCATCATTAAGATATAGACATGATTCATTTTTGTAACTGCAAAAAGTTGGTTAACTACAGGGCATAAAACTAGATAGCAATACCGTAACATTGAAGAACATATACGTACATGGATTCAATATTAAACGGTCGAGTGATCGACAACAGCTAGTTAAACATAGTTTTTACAGTGAATGAACCATACCCAGTGAAAAATTATTGCTTGCAGATAATGTACAACTTTTCTACATATAGACTGTCTCCAAATTAGTATGCATACTGAAAGGCAGTATCATTGGAATGATCCTGCGTCAACATATATGTACACTAAAACATTGCCATTATGTGAATACTATAGACAGAAGTATATTTAGATAAAGCAATAGGAAGACGTAATTTGTCTGAATCGTGTAATGTGTTTGCGCACCACATTTCGAACAATCTGATCCCACACGGATTTGTCATAGGAATATATATGAAATTAATAAAGAGGTAAGAGGTGAGAAGATAGACTAAGGTCAAGTTTAAAGGACATATTCCTAAATGGCTCCAGAAACAAATGGAATCTTCAGAACCCATTAACGGTGAGAACAGGAAACCTAGCTCTTCTATTGCGAAACATATTATAGAAACAGGACATAAAATTGACGTTAACAGATCTTTTAAACCTATCTATAAAACGTGTTTGGGGCGTATCCTAAAGTTTGTGGAAGCCCTAGCAATTAGAAAGTTTAAGCCACCTTTATGCGTTCAAAAACAATTCGTCATCACATTAAACCTTCCTTGGTAAATTTTCTTTTGATACCATAGCAGATGTACTATTACCTCTGTTATTTGGTTTAGTGGTCTTCATTGTTACTTTGACCTTGAATATGTCCTTTAAACTTGACCTAAGTCTATCTTCTCACCTCTTACCTCATTATTTATTTCATGTATATTCCTATGACAAGTCCGTGTGTGATCAGATTGTTCGAAATGTGTTGCGCAAATGCATTACACGATTCAGACATATCACGTCTTCTTATTGCTTTATCTAAATTCATAAAGGGAACTAATTGTTTTAAATTTCTAAAGAGAAGTATATTTACAAAATATCACTTACAGGTAAAGTTCGAAATCTCCAGCAGCTGCAGCAGCTAACAGCTGTTCTGTCGCCCGGATAATATCTTGTTTTTTGCCTGCACGAAACAAGAAAGAGAGAAAAATGATGGGACAAATCATTTAAAGACTTCAAATCCTCACAATTTTGTGTGGATTCAATATTGTTATTTCTTAATGTCAGTAAAAAGTTTGAGCATTGTGGAACATATCAAATAAAGTATAACTAAAATTTCAATAGTTTACACACAATGATAAGTTTTGCTCGAAATATTACCAATAACAAAACTTATCATTGTGTGTAAACTATTGAAATATAATTATGCTTTATTTGTTATTTTTCCTTTCAAACAGTCATGTCACGTAGACAGTTATATACCAGAAATGAATTTTGCTTTAGAACAGCAAAACTGAGACAACAAGGACTTATTACTAGTCAAAATTTATAACTGAAAATATAAATTTATGGGTTAACACTAATATTCATTGTAAAAAATATTCTGGTTGACAACTTATACGGTTAATTAGAAAATAAGAAGTATAAGAAGTACAACCTTCATAACTATGTCGGATAAAATAAATAAGATAAATCCATAATGTTTTGATCATTTGAGTCTGACTGATGATACATTCATTCAATCAAGCGGCCTTACTCCTCATACCCACCGATATATAAAGGGACGCCATTAATTCGATACAAAGAATTTCGCTATAACACTGAAATATACACTTGGAAAATAAAAACGATTGCAACAGAGTCATGCATAACTCTTGTTAAATGAATTTCTGAATAAAGAATTATCTATATACACATGATCATATTGGAAAGTAATCATATTACTAAGAAAAGAAGGCTATGCTTCTTCACTTGGACGGAGAAAAATTTGACTCTCACATATATAAAATAACTAATTTACATTGGATGTCATCATATACATACTGTAAAAAAATAAAGCAACTATGTGAAATTTATCAAAGCGAATATGCAAAAAAAAAGAAACTGAAAAACTAACTATGCCGTAAACAAAAGTTAGATAGATGAAACTAATAACATATCTAAAAGGTGCAAGAAACAAATGCAAAATAGTGCACAGTTACTATTCACTTAATTATAAGTAATGTGTATGTGAAAGGTAATTGGAATGGCGACAAAGTAAAAAATTGTGAAATTCACTGGAACAATAAAACCATACCATGCATATAACATTACAAAAAGTTAAACTGATTTGTGCATGATAGGCGGAAAGTTGAGAACTCTCTACAGGTTGCTACTACTCTAAAGTGCATCAGTAAAAGGAAGAATATGTAAGAAAACAGAAACAAAAATTCAAGGAGGAGGAGGAGAAGGCATCATGATAAATGAAAACTACACGCCTTTCTGAGGGACTATTCTAATTTTTAATTAATTTTATTTATAGTACATAAATGAATGAATAAGGGTTTCATTTAAATATCAACTAAAAGCACATGAAATGAAACACCATACAGAGAAATTTAGAATAGACGTATAACATCAGTGACGTGATGAAGTGAAGAATTACATTACAAAAGAAAACTAAAGTTTGATATCGACAAAAGATACATAACATGAATGGATTACAGCAGTGTATCTCTTCACTGTGACGGGATTGAAGTTGATTCAAACCTGGTTGAATGTTATACAAAACAAACTTAAGATATGCCAACTAGCTATAGAAAATCAGACATTATGTCGAAAAGATATGTACAAGTGAAATGAGTGAAAGGAATCCAACTACCTATACGTTTAAACATAAGGGCCATTATTTCAGAATTCAGAACTACATGAATAGTTTCAGTCTAATTTGAAAACTATTAGTGGTAGTAGTAGTAGTACTAGTGTCTGAGTATCGTGTTTCACGACCTTTCCTGTTTTGCAGGTCGACCATCGTCACCGACCCGGTGTTGTGGATCGGATTCTAATTAGTGGCACATGAAGACGGTGTAGCAGCCAGGTCCTGCCACTCCTACTAACGGAGAAGTCACCAAATTCCCTATCTACCTTGAGACCGCCTAAGTGGGGACGGCATCAAGTGCCCGACCTGGGTTATCGCCCACTTAGGCCAACCAGATCTTACTACGCACCCCACTCCCTTCAAAGTTGAAGGGAAAATAAGACGAAACACCAATATATATATATATATATATATATATATATATATATATATGGGAATTCTGTACATGTTAATTTCCTTGAAGCCTTTGACTAATGTCCTAATGTGGCTGTGTGCTTTTTAAAATTGCGATATTCTTAATCCTCTGTACTCTCAACATAACTTTCACGTGTTAACATCCCTGAAGTTTACTGTTACATGAGCAATAATTGAACAGTAGGCAAAATATGCTAAATATAGCGGTGAAGATGTTGTCCAGAAGGACGACGAAAGCTTCGCAACTAAACCAACCAGCTCAGAGAACACTATTAATTGCAAATCATACACCTGAGCTACAAATCTTCTCCATTATTTCAAAATATATGTGTTGATGTAGATAAAACTTTATTTACTGCAAGATAACCCGCACGAATGAATCAAATAGATCCAGATATAAAGCAACAACAAACATCTGAAATGTTCTTTTCACAGTTGATAAAAACCCGCAGATTGTGAATAATAATCACAGAGCACCAACAGCTCACAATAATATCGTAGACCCATGGGAGAATTTCAAAGAAAACTAGTAGTTCACTATGGAAAAAATTATCAAGAATCGACAGGCATAACAAGATTTTCTTCCCAAAAAGCTAAGAGCTTCAATCCTACCAGTTTTAGAAGTTGACAGATTCTATGGGATTATATATTTAAATAGTTATAATACCATAGTTACCTCTTCATTGTGCATGGTTACATAAAATTGATACCATAGCTTATTTCTGCGCACTCTAATCCGATTAAACCAGAAGCAGTAATCCAGAAAAAGACAGATTAGTATTTTGAGACAAAAGATAAACATGTATTTAGTTTTTCAACTTAACGCCAACATACGAAACATAATGGACAATCAACATTCCTAACGAAAATAGGCATAACATTTAGGTTAAATTGAAAATGAGAACCGAAATAAGCTGACTCAATGTGTTGTGAGCTAAGAGCAGCAATTTTCTGAATGGTAAATATTTGACTCAATTAATGATAATTAGACAATCCTTATGTACCAGTATACATCGGCAAGATCCACCTGAGTAGAACATAGCTGTGATCTATCTCACAAATGAAAGGGTCAACCGGTTCAACATTCACTGATTCACTATACTGACAAGGACAACCAGCCCTGTATCATTAGTTAAATAACTATACACTATTAAGTCGTGCTTGTTGTTCATGCACCTGATTTGAAATTTTTCTTTATTCTATCAGTTTATACTGCTTTTTATAAATCAGTTGGTGTGATGCCTTACAATATTGTTTGTGTGAAAACCACTGGTTATTCCAATGCTTACGAACAAAACAATTGTAAATTTTATATCTAACGATACTGATCAAATGCGAAGCTTGACTTCAAAAGAACTGGAAAACGTTTTTATATAGATTTACATTTACATGATGGTAAACAAAACAATATGAGGCCGATAAATTGTAATCTGAATAAACACTAGTGCGAAAAGGAAAAAAATGATAAGCATGGTGACTAAGCACCAAAAGCATTTATGTTACGAAACAAAAACCATGAAGTATTAAAGAAAAATGTCAGAATTTAAGTCAAACTTGGCACTTGTTAATATTTATCAGTGACGTAAAGTTATTTCAGAGAACATATACTTAGTGAGCGTTAACGTTCAGTGACTATCCCTAGACTCTATCCAATAATAAAAGTACTACTCATATGAATATTAATCGTGAGTTCTAAACGTAATGCAAATGCAATATGCCCTATAGAAAACAAAAGAAAAATTATAGTTAAAAGACAAGCAAAATATACTAGTGAATATTCAGTGCATATTTTAGTAACTAATACTATACGATGAAAAAATCAAAGTTATATGACGAGTGCTAACGAGACGGTAAAATAAAATAATCCTCACATTCACTAGGATTCATTCTAAAAAGTCCTAGTTACAAATTCTCACTCCCGTAAAAGAAAGAAATATGAATGAATGCTTTTAGGTTTCAACAGCGATGGAGTTGTGTTAAATGTGATGGAGTTGCTAATACCACCTCCTATTTTTCCTGGACTGCGGACAATGCCAACGGCAAAGAAATTTGGCAACTAATTCAACACTAGTGCGCGTGCGTTAAACATTTAGAAGTTTCTTTTAACAGGTATATGATGACACCGTATGCCAAATAATTCACAAGGGAAAATTTACTGCAGCGCTTGCAGTGAAGACAAGGGTAAAAAAGGCTGTTTACTATAAGCGACGACCTTACTGATTGTGGAGAAAAGGACCATGGGAAAGACAAACGGAAGCCAAGGATTTAATAGGAGAGACAGAACTTCAGGTATGGTTGATGCAGAGATCTGGCCAACAACAACAACACCAACGGGGTAGGGGGGGAATACAGCAGTCCTTGTTAGACACCGAAGATCACATAACCTGCCAAGAAGGGTGAGCGACAAGGAACTCTAACAGTCAGAGAACTAGCCAAGAAACTGTTGCCCAAAATGGAGTTGAAGATCGACTGGACGTTCACTGAAGAGACATTTAAGTAACATCACACGACAGGTCCTTGACTGGAAACCGAATAAGATCATTGGTGGAAATTATTATTGCCGGATTACATTTAATAATCTACGAGATAACGCTTAGATGGTGCCCTCATATTTAAAATGTCATCTGATTGAATTAGACCACTGCGGTTTCACAGAAACGATTAACCATGAAATGGGCGTGAAAGCATGAATTTATCAACATCCCAACTACTGCATCTGAGAAATTAACTGATTCAAAGGTGACTGTAAAATTCATTCTGTACGAACTTATTCAGATAGCGCTAAGTTACGTTATGAAGACTGGTCAGAATTCGACTGGATTTGTGGGTGATTATATGCATGAAAACAAACGCCATTTAGAAAAGTCGAGAAAAAGCAACTTCAATGCAGGGGATTTGATGACCCTTGGAAC